ACGACACACACACGACACACACACACAACTATATATATTATTATATATATATATATATATATATACATATTTACTATATATATATATATACATATATACATAATACATATATATATATGTATATATATATATATATATATATATTCATACATATATATAAAATATATATATAATGTATTATACATCCGATTTTTATAACCTGTTAGTACAACACCTGCTTGTGCAGCATACTAAAATCAAAAGTCATACTTCTCCCCATAATTAAAAAAATTGTATAATTTCCATATCAAATCACACATACGTGGCTAGTTTTTCCTTCAACGACGGTCCGATGTTATTGAGAGTGTCAGCTGCTGTTCGCGCTGCCATGCGTTTCTGTTGCCATGACGACGAGGCTAGCATATCGAGAACGATACTCAGTAGTTCGTCTTGGTACAGCCGTAAGCCCGCACGCGTTCCTGAAGTGAAGTTGTGGAAAGGTAAGATAGACCATTCCGTATCCGTTTTGATAAGTATTTATATATAATTCGCTTGATCAATTGATTGGATGGAGTTTTACATTGGTCATTCCGTATCCGTTTTCATGACTATTTCTATATATAATCAGGATAATATAGGCCATTTCGTATCCGTTTTCATGGGTATTTATATATATAATCAGGATTATATAGGCCATTCCGTATCCGTTTTCATAAGTATATATATATATAGTCAGGGCTATATAGGCCATTCCGTATCCGTTTTGAAAATATTGACGTACAGTCAGCTTGATCAATTGCTTGGATGAAGTTGCAGGGTATCTTTACCATAAGTGAAGTGGGCCCGAACCCATAGTCCCATACTTCGAACGCGGTGTTGCGCTAGTACTGATGGAAATTGATATCCATCCCCACTGACTTTAATTCAAGAGTATCTATAGGTATAGGCAGCAACTCCAACCACGCACGCTAATTTTCAGAATCATGAATAAAACATACACTCATAAAAATATATATGAATATATGCTTGCAGGAATAAAAGGGTAATTTCGATAGACAAACAAAATTAGTAAACCCATTTTATACTTCCAAAAACCCATCACCCATTCCACTAAAGTCAAACACATTCCGTGTGCTAATAGGCTCATACGGTTTTACACCCACACCCACATCCACACCCACACCACACGGCACACACATACACAGCCACACCCACCCACCCACTCATCACACACACATACACATACACAAGAACATACACTAACACACAAACATAAACACAAAAACACACACACACATACAGAGAGAGACACAGACACAGACACACACCAGGAGTATTCTCATCCCACACAGTAGTCCAGGCCTCAATCTCGTCCTTGCCGTCGCTATGGCAACCGAGATAAGCCAGCGGCAGGTAGCTTCCCGCGAATCGCTGGAAGTGCGTGGGCGCGTGCCGCCCGATTTCCTTAAAAGTAAATGCCAGAGATAACCGTTGCGCGGTGTCGACGTTCTCGAAGTCCAGAAGTTTAGTACGGAACGAGTCGATGCACCGCTCACTGGTCTTGTCCTTGGTAGACTGGAGGATGTAGGAGAGGGTTGTACCAAAGCCTGCATGCATATAGGAAGGGTTAGTGAGGGTGAATGTGATGGGGAGATATGATTGGCCTAGAAGGTACAGGCAGTCTAAAAATAGCACACCGCGGATGTAGGTGTGGGATGACTTACCTGACGCCACCGCCGAACTCGTGACTCGTGCAATTGGCTTATTATGTGTGTATAATTTATAAATAGAACCACATATAATAACTGTATGGTCTATAAATAGAATCACGTACGTATACTTTTTATGGATGGAACCACATATAACAGCTGTATGATCTATAAATAGAGCCACGTATGTATACATTCTCTAAATAGGACCACATATAACAGCTGCATGATCTATAAATAGATTCACGTATGTATGTAGTCTCACCGCCATACTGGTGTCCTACAGATAATCATTGGCAAATACATGGCAGATACGAGGTAAGCCCATTTCAAGCCAATACGATTGACATATATATATATACATACATACATACAAGCATACATACATACCTACCTACATACCTACATATCTACATACATACAAACATACATGCATATTTACTTACATACATACATACATTGTTTATAACCCTTGCTTCATGTTTATACAATCTAGAAATAGAGCTCAATATATATGCGCCTGATGTCATACCTTTTCTCACAGCCGGGCTGGTATCCCAGAGACCAGTGACCAGTACTTTACAGATGCGTGGTAGGTATTTGGCGGTGTCTAACTCCCGGCGTGGTTCACATAGAGTAGCCAGTAACGCTGCTGCACCCACCTGCATACCATATTAATTAATATGCCGTGTAAACAGAGAATTTTTGAACGATGCTCTAACCTCACATCTACCGTGACAAAACATTTGAGCTCATCTCTGCCTTGACACGATGTATGTGCCCCAATTTAAGAATCAAAGCTCTCTCATCCAACGGACTGGTTTGTGCAGTGATGGTGAATGGGCTATGCTTGCTATGGGCCATACAACACCCGGTATCAACGAAAACTAAGCCGAATTGATGGTTATTGTGTGCGTTAGGATGATTTGAAGCGTGGTATGTTGCTTGACAGTATATTGATGTCAGAATACAACTGTGTATAAATACACACGTATATGTATATACACACTATATTTATATATATAAATATATATA